CTTCTAACAATCTTATAGATTGGATTTGGGAGGCAGTGTGACTAATAATTACTCAAATTTCTCCCCTTAAGTTCTTAGAGCTAATTGCTATGTTTGAATTTTTACCAATTCAATCAAGATTTCACATTGAAAAGAGAAATAGTTCAAGGAATTGTGTCCTGTTCAATTCTTCCCTTAACTCTTGCTTTTATTTTTTCAAAGGAAAGTAAAACCTTGGCAGAGTTCAGGACTGTTTCACTTACTTCAGCTATTGATATGATGCATTTCTATTATATCTACTCAGAGAATGAAATCAGCCTAACACACAGAAAAGTCAGAGCACATTTTCTCAATATTTTCAACATTAGGGTAGAGCTCAATTAGAAGTGAGATTGTGCCAAATACAGCATTTTATTTAGAAGAAGACTCCCTGAGCGCTCAGAGCTTATTTGAGCATTGACTGATCTTATCTAATGCCTGAGCAGCTGCATCAGGGAATGCCTCAATTTACTGAAGAGCATTTTGTTTAATAAAATGCATTTCCTATTTGACATTTAAGAATCTCTTTACAGTGCCTAAATTTCAGATTTCAAAATACATTATGAGGCTATGACATTTTTGGGAATAGAGTGACCCACATTGGGCCATTACCTCTGCACACACAATGTGTAGACCTTCTGTGGCTGACTTTTATAAAAGGGGGTGGGGGGAGGAATTAAGAAATACCACATCCTTACAATGAACTGGGGTACATTTACATCCTATTTAAGAAAAATCTAACTTAAACTGTAGGTTGGCATTACTATTGTAATTTTTGTCTGAGGAAATGGAGGTTTGGAGATATTAAATAACTTCTCAAGGTCACTTAAGTAGGAACAAAGAAGCGAGGTTGCTTACAACATCTGCTAATGTCAAAGTGAGCAGAGTACACATAAGAAAACATGAAGGCCGAAACTGGTTTGACTCAGTGGATATAGCGTTGGCCTGTGGACTGAAGGGTCCCAGGTTCGATTCCAGTCAAGGGTATGTACCTTGGGTTGTGGGCACATCCCCAGTAGTGGGTGTGCAGGAGACAGCTGATCAGTATTTCTCTCTCATCCATGTTTCTGACTCTCTGTCCCTCTCTTTTCCTCTCTGTAAAAAAATCAATAAAATATATTTTTTAAAAAGAAAGAAAGAAAACATGAAGGCCAGGATTCTAGCCTTGTCAATGAGGTATTTTATTTCTCTGACAAGATCTCTCTCATTATTCCGGTGTAGACAACGTGTTATCTATTTATATTAACAAGTTCTGTGAGGGAAAAAAAAATTGGATGATTTATGTAAAACTAATATTTAAGAGCATATAGCTATCCTTGCTTGGCTTCTATGTGTATTACTGATCCTAAGTCTCCCACACAAGGCCAATATCATAAAATTGTGTCTGAAATATATTGCGTTAGAATTCATGGAGAGATGCTGAATTTCACAGAACTTTTTTCAGTTACTGTAAAGTTAAGGAAGAACCTGGGAATATCAAATGTGTTTTGGGTTTTTTTGGTTTTTAATTTCCATTTCTTATGCTGCCTGTTTTGAGGCAAATAACTTCCCTAAGGATATATGGATGGCAACAAGTTCATAATGAGTAGCTTAGAGGATAGCATTTACAGTATACATAGCCACATAAGGAAGCTTCCGCAAAGGATGGAGATGGAGATCATGTGGGGGATCATTTAATTTTAATAATTTGTTTTCATTTTCTGTGGAGTGATATTTTATGATGAGCACTTGTAACATCCTAGCTTATGCCTTAAACTGTCTTTAAATATAAAGTAGAAGCACATTCCATATATACTCTTTCTCCTTTCTAGCAAAACATTCTATGCCATCCTTATTCTTTTATTTTTAAACCAAAAATTTTCATATGAATGAGATCCAAGACTTTTTGACCCTGAAGTTTGCTGGGCTTGTTTTTTTAACTGTTGTTATTACAACAGTTAAAAGTCTATGTTTTCCCTAAGTCTCACTTTCACTTTAAGGTACTGAAATATCCTTTAGCATCTAATGTTTAATTAGTCAATAAGTTTAAATACATAATAGTAAATGTCTATACTCTTTTCTTTTTTGTCCTTTCTCTCTTCCTTTGTTTTCATGGTTTCTATAGTTTACAATGTGGGATTCATCGCACCTTCTTTCTTTTTCTAAAGTGAGAATAAGTCAGATCTGTACTCTTTGTACCAAACGAATGTTGACTAATGATTGAGTTAATTTTGAATTTCATATAAGCAACAAATTATTTCAGTATATAAGTATATTCTCTTCAAAGATTGTGTATTTATTCTAAAAATGATTTAAAGCTTACCTAAAATTAAAATTTAATTGAGTGGCCTATATTTTTCATTGCTAAGCCTGTGTCTTATTAATAGTCAGACACTTCCCAATCCGTGGTAGATATATATATATATATATATATATATATATATATATATTACATTTGAGTTTGTCGTGAGCTTGGATCAGATGGCTTTTATCCTCCTTCACTGATTTCCTTGTAAGACTATCATTATTGTTTATTAATTGGGGTCCCTTTGGCTCCTTCTGGGACAAAAATGAAAAAGATGAGAGTAATTTCCTCATTATCTGGAGGGCTGAATTTACCTAATTATTTTTCATTTTATTCACTTTTCAATTTAGCCCTGTAGGTGGTATGATTATACATTTATTTCCTCAAGAATTATTTTAAAATCATTAATAATGTTCTATATTGATACTTGAAATTGAAACTTCTATCATTTTATATCCTCCTTTGTAAGTTACACTTTTGGTAGCACTGTACTCGCCCTTCCATTGAATATTCTGTACTAACTTACTACATGTGTCATTCTGTATCTGAAAAGCAATATGGCTACTGCTCTTTAGTTATAGTTCTGCTATCTCATCTTGGAAGTTTATAACATTTGAACTTTACTCCTGCGTCCTTTTGGAAGTTATATTTTATTTTTTAAATTCCAAAGGAGCCTCCCCTTGAGATATGCAAATGTATATCTTGGAATATTGTTTTAAAAGCCACCCCCCACCACAATCACAAAATTAAAGTTTTATCTACAATTTTCACTTTATTTTCAAAGACCCATCTCTAAGAATTCTTCACTCACAGAAATAAATATCTTACAAAATATCAAAAGAGCAAACTCCTTAAATAATTTTTTAATAGTTGCCCATATAACAGTATACACCCTACAGAGCCTCTTTTTTTGGGGGAAAGCACACTGAAAGCAGTAAGAAGACAAAAATTCCAATAGATCTTTAGCTCATAAATGAAAAACTATAATCTTAGAAATCTACTACAGCAGACCCTTATTCATTTACCCTTAGAACCATAATATAGGTGAAACCATAGTGTAGTCTTTGAAAAAACTCTCCTCTCCTTTTGTGATTCAAGGTCAAGATCTGCATTGCTGTTTTATGTGGAGGAGTCATCTGATGATTTTAGAATATGTCCTTATAAAACCACTTACATTCAAGGCATCTAAACATTAGCTGTAATTTCCTAGTGGCAGCTTCTTCTTTGGTTATTGAATCAATACATTTATATTGTTCTTCATAATAAGCAGAAGAGCTTCATTTTGTAGGTTTAAAATTTTCATTTTTCAATGGCATTGTATTATTAAGCTAGTGTTGATGCCATTGATGGAGCAGGCATAGTATTCTTACAACAAGATATATAAAGAATATTAGACTAAAAGAAGATAACCTCTATTCAGCAAGAAATTATATAAAACATTTATGTGAAATTACAAAAGAAAAAAAAGAGGTTTCTTTTTCATCATTTTCTTTTAAAAATGTGTTCTGCATTTAATTTTTGAAAAGGAAAACCATTCTATTTAACTCAGTTAAATTATGGAAAAGCTCTTGAGAACACAGAAGATCAAGTGGAGTCAATAAATGAAAACTTCAATTGATAAATATGACCCCACAAGAAGTCAACTTGAATAAAGCGAATTCAGACAATTCATGGTCGTAGACGGAGCCTTGCTTCCAGCAAGGTCAAAGGAAGATGCCAGTTCTTTGCAGTTTGATGATCACTCTCATCAAAGGTGGGAGAAATGCTCAAAGCCCAATAAGTCCTAGCTATGCCTTTAAATATTTAATAATATACTATACTGGAGCTCTTCCCATTTTCATCCATGCTCTGTATATTATTGAGACAAAAGAAAGTTAGATAGATGGGAGTAGAACCAGGGAAGGAGGATGTGAAACTGGGAACCCAAGGAGGCAGAGATACTAAGACACTCCAACTGGGTGGAGAAGGAAGGGCACGGAGCACTGAGAGGCATGAATGTATGAATATTGCTAAGACAGACAACTTGCAGATAACCAATCACAGGTAGTAAGGCAAGGCATATTGCTAAGGCAAAATTCTTTGAAAAGACCAATGAGGAGCTAGCACAGCTATCTACCCTGAATTAAAGGGCATGCTTTCGCTCAATAAATTCTGGTGGGGGAAGCACATCCTGGGCACAGGTGGCTTATGGCCATGTGGACCTCAACACATGGACTTATAGACTTGAATTAGTTTGGATGTTAAAATACTCCTGACTATAACATCGAAAGGAAGCTCTGGTCACTAGCCTGCTCCTGGAATCCCTCGACTTCATTGGATTTCACAAAACAAGGAACTCAGACTCAAACTCCACATTTTGGTTTCATTATGACTTATTCTTCCCTCAAATTCCCTTACCTGGGAAATAAAAGAGGAGAAGATGGGTCTTTGTTCTTTGGCAAAAGGGTAATAATTCTAACTCAGACTGAACTTCAAAAATAAATAAGATCTTAAAAGTGGTCAATACTGGCACATTTAGCTTTGTCCTTCAGCCCTGTGCTACCTTGAATTCTTTTTCCAATTTTTCTCTTAATTTCTGTATTCCTATTTCCTGTCGTCCCATGTGTGGAAGCATATTCGATCCATAATAATAGAACTTAAGAACAGTGCATCTTTCCACTTGCTTGTAGTACTGACACGGGATTCATGTTGCCCTTAGGCACTGAAGGAGCAGTATTCGGGCACTCAGTTGAGACACCTCACATCAGAGCAGAACCTTCCCAAGATCTCAGGTAAGTCCTGGCTCTTACACTTGTATAATTGTTTTCACCACTGTTGATCATCCTCGATATAAAGAACTAAAACAGAAAATATCCTACATACCTATATGAAGAATTGACATGTGCAGCTACATGGTAAATAGTCAAGTATTGGATAAAGAACAAGAAAATATGTCTTTTATTAAAAAAAACACATCTGTATAGTGTTTCTAAATAAATATACAATAAATAATATTATATATATATATATATATATATATATATATATATATATATATATATTATGAGTTTGAAAAATAAAGAAAATGCAGTTTTAGCATAGTTAAGAGGAGGACAAAGATTTTCCTTGCTGGAAAATCTGTGATAGAAAATGAAATATACTATGGTGCATAGACTTAAAGAATAGGGAAGCAGAGATTAGGAGAAAGCTATTAAAGGTCAGGGAATGTTATGTAAAGGAAACAACAAAAACAAATATGGATAATAATTAGGGAAGGGCAGAACATAATTGCCCTATGATGGACTCATCAATCTAATATTTTCAGTGGAATAAGCTGCTGTTTTTAAAATGTACGGTTTCATGTAAAAGCTCTCTCTACCAAAAAGATTGTGAGATGACAGTATTATAGGAAGTTCTCCCTGGGGTAATCATGGCAACTGTTTATTAAAGTTAAAATAGTAAAAAACAGTAATGGATCCATGGATGCTCTCAATTCAATAAGTAAGTTAAGCTTTAGGAATAAAATATATTTTATGTAATTTATTGTGGTGATCTTTTTACACTGTCCTATCTAATAAAGAGGGAATATGTAAATTGTCCATCACATCATCACAAAGATGGCAGTGCCCACAGCCACAAGGTGGCGGTGCTCAGTCCCCTCTGCCCTGCTAGACTCTTTCAGTCCTTTCAGCTCGGCCAGGGGGTGGGGGGCTGCAGGTGCATGGTGTGGCCAGACCTGCCCTCAGCCCCCCAGCTGCCTAAGGTGGGCCTGAGATGCAGGCAAGCCTCAGATAGTGGCTGTACGGCTGCCCAGGGCTACCCAGGGCTACCCAAGGCTCAGGTATCCAGGGCTGGCCAAGGCTTTCACTGCTGGCAGTGGCAGCAGCAGAGGTGTAATGGGCCATCGCCTTCCCCTGATCACTAGTCACATCCCACCCCTGAGGGCTCCCGGACTGTGAGAGGAGGCAGGCCGGGCTGAGGGAACCCCTCCAGTGCATGAATTTTCATGCACCAGGCCTCTAGTATACATATAATATATCATATTACACACCTTATACTAATACAATACTATGTGTTGTTTACAAAATAATTAATTTTGGATTAATAAATTACATTCTAAAATGCATTTGCTAAGGTATTTTTATAAAATATCAACATGAAATACTGCCATTTGAGACAATATAGATGGACCTTGAGAATATCATGTTAAGCAAAATAAGTAAGCCAGGAAAAGCTAAGAACCATATGATTTTATTGATACCCTATATAATAAAAGCCTAATATGCTAAGTGTCTGGTCTACTATTCAACAAATCAAAGCATGATATGTTAATGATATGCTAAAGCTGCTAAACCACTCCCTATGTCATGCACTGACCACCAGGGGGCAGACACTCTAACCAGTAGTAAGCTTGCTGCTGGAGTGCAGCCAATTGGAACTGAGCAAGACAGGTCGGACATGTTTTGGAGCCTTCCCACGTCCCTCCCTGGCTGGCCAAGCTCCCATATCCCTCCTTGACCCCAATCATGCACTCGTGGGGTCCATCGGCCTGGCCTGTGCCCTCTCACGATACAGGACCCCTAGGGGGATGTTGGAGGGCAGGTTTCAGCCTGATTCTGCAGGCCAGGCTGAGGGACCCCACTGGGTGCACAAATTTGTGCACCAGGCCTCTAGTGTGAGATATAAAACTGAAACGCATAGATATAGATTAATTTATGGTGGTTTTTAGAGGGAAGGTGGAGGGTTTAGAAAGGTTAAAGGGGGTCAAATATATGGTGAGGGAAGATGATTTGACTTTGGGTGGTGGGCAGACAATGTAATATACAGATCATGCATCATAGAAATGTAAACTTGAAATCTATATGAACCTAGTAACCACTGTCAACTCAACTAATTAATTTGAAAAGGACAACATTGATATTTCAAAAATAAATCAAATATAATAATCATATTTAAAGCTAAATCAAAGTATCTACCTGGGAGTCTTTGTCTTAAAAATGCTATAAAAATAGTAAGAAAAAATATTTATTTCATAAATATCAGTTTTTGTCCTTCTCATTTTGATAATTGGGGAAAACTGCTCAAGTGAAAATAGAAAAATAAAGTACAAAAATGTTAATGCCAAAATAGACATGCTTTTTTTTAAATAAATTTCATCTTTTTTTATTATTATTTTTTAATTGATTTTGTACTGAGAGGAAGGGAGAGATATAGAGAGTTAGAAACATCGATGAGAGAGAGTCATCCATCAGCTGCCTCTTGCACACCCCCCTCTGGGGATATGCCCACAACCAAGGTACATGCCCTTGACCGGAATCGAACCCGGGACCCTTCAGTCCCCAAGCCAACGCTCTATCCATTGAGCCAAACCGGTCTCGGCAAAGTAGACCTGCTTTTAAAAGTATAACATTTGCAGACCTTATAGTTCCTGAAGAACTCAGTTTCTCCCTAGTAGAGTAACCCAGGTGGAAAAAAAACAAAACACCTAATTAATAATAACAGAAGCTGCCTTCTTACTGTGATCAAAGTATCTATAATAATAAAAGCGTAATATGCAGATCGACCAAATGGCCAAACTGGAAAGTGTCCAGATGTCCTTCCAAATGAAGTCGAGGCTGCAAGGGCCTAGGCAGCAGCCAAGGTGGCGAGGGTCTACTGTAATATGAATTTCATGCATTGGGCCACTAGTTTGTTTATAAGATGACCACAATAATTATTTATGCTAGGCCAAAACCCCAAGAATTTAGAAGGATTGAAGAATATGTGTAAATAGTGTCTCATAGTGTGTTATAGTCTTGATTTATGACTCCTTTCTCAGGAATTTAACATTTTTGTGTAATTATTAACGTTATCCCTCTCCACCTAACAAGATTGTCGGCTCCATTAGAACAGATCTGCACCTTCTTTGCTTTTTTTTTTTTTTTTTTTAAAGATATTTTATTGATTTTGTACAGAGAGGAAGGGAGAGAGATAGAGAGTCAGAAACATTGGTGAGAGAGAGTCATCGATCAGCTGCCTCTTGCACACCCCCTACTGGGGATATGCCCGCAACCAGGGTACATGCCCTTGACCGGAATCGAACCCGGGACCTTTCAGTCCCCAAGCCGACGCTCTATCCATTGAGCCAAACCGGTCCCGGCCCTTCTTTGCTTTTTATTTTTAGTTCTGTAGCACCCAGCACTGTATCTCACACATTATAGTGTCTGATAAGTATTTGTTCACTTGGATCACTGAAATTTAGCAAAACTGAATAATGAGGACTACTTAATGCACGCATATAAGGAATGTGTCAGCATTTGTTGTCTTATTGCTAAGGCACCTTTAACAAACACTGATTTCAGTTGCTTTTGAACTGTTTTAAATCAAATATCAGAGTTTGATGACTCATTCAATAAAGAAATTTTAAAGTACTAAGTTCTAAAAGAAACATATTTTACTTCTAACATTTTAGGAATTGTGTACTCATTTTATGCTTTGTGGTTAGGAAATGTATGTTGCCCAAAGAGGAATAAGAACCAACTGGTATTTTAACTACCTTGCTGGTGTGTCTCAAAATCCACAAGGGGAAAAGTGGATGAAATTATATTAGTATATAGTGTGCCTGGTTTTTAATTATTCATCAGTGACTTAAAGATTGACTTAAGCTAGGCTTATCTGCTGCTGCGAAAGCAGATCGGCAACCCCCAAGATGAGTGATACTGATCTAAATTCCACAACTGAAACATAAATAAAGCAAAGTAGTGATGGGGTTATTCAATTATTTATGTGTGTACTGACGATTAAAATTGGAGTGTCTGAGATCTTTACAAGTTTTGCTGACAATTTTCCTTTCAGGGCAATAGAAGCACTCCTAGTTGACACCTAATTTTAGGTAACAAGGTGGGATGGTTGGGCAGGTAATTAAAATGGTAATTTGGAGAGTAAGTAGACATATAGCCTTTGATTTTGCTTTTGTCAAAAACAAAAGGCTTTAGAAAGGAATATCCCAAAACATTTGTTATAGAGTATATGTAATATTTTGGTATGGACATGTAGTAGATTTCTATAATTTATGTATTCAACAGATGTTTGATGTATGCTTAATATGTGCCAAATTCTGTGCTAAGTTTCCATGTTCATTTTAAACCTACACATGTTGAATTTTTTTTTTATATCAGGTAAAGTTGTTTTTTAATAGAGCCTGCGTTTTAAAAGGCTAAAAAAATAAAAACATGCTGAATGTTGAGTAAGGAGATAATGCCATGTTTGTCTGGAATAACTCATGTATGAATGTTCTTCCTTTTACATTTCTAAGCTAATTTATAAGGAAAATATTACAGTTCAGTGGGGTTTCTGCACTCTACGGTGAGAAGTGATGAAATCCATTATGTAATGCCCACTGCCCGAAGATTGTTTGAATCCGAGTTCCATTAACTGTTCCAAAAATAAGAAAAGAATCTTGACTTGGAATCAGTAAATGAGTTTAATATTTAATGATATAATAGGCATCTTTTCATCATTTCTATTCTTGCATGAATATAATTTAAAACTGAAATATTGAGGTTTTATATTACTCTCTGGAAACACATTGTTCTAATTTACATCATTTTTTTTTTCAAAATATATTTTATTAATTTTTTACAGAGAGGAAGGGAGAGGGATAGAGAGCTAGAAACATCGATGAGAGAGAAACATCGACCAGCTGCCTCTTGCACACCCCCTACCGGGGATGTGCCCGCAACCAATGTACATGCCCTTGACCGGAATCGAACCTGGGACCTTTCAGTCCGCAGACCGACGCTCTACCACTGAG